TTTGTTTCACATGCACTTCTGTCTCACTCAATATTAACGTATTATTTCCGAAACAAAATTAATGCGTGTACAATGGCATCTAGTTGACTGACCATGTATATAACGTAAGCATTTGTATCTGATTGGTGAAATACAGAAATCTCACATGAGATTTATTATGTTATATCAAAAAGAAAAATATGCTTTTATTTTTTTCTCATTGTAAAGCACCTTTAATGCAATGTCCTAGTAATTTCATATGTCAGCATCATTGACGCTCCACAGATAGTAATTTCCTATATATACTGCAACTGATGATCTTGTTCAAACCAAGAAAAATTCATCTTCAGTTGCATAATAAGCAAATGATGAAGCCTAAGCCTAAGCCTAACTCTGTTTTTCCACTTCCATTCATGTTCTTCATTAGTCACTGGTTTCTATTGGCTCCTCATGGAAGTGCTGAGACTTCCACGTATATAGTCCACATGGACAAATCCCTCTTTCCCAATGTCTTCACAACCCATCATGATTGGTTTGAGTCCACCATTGATTCCATAAAATCAACAACACTTGGTCACTCATCCAAGCAATCACCAAAACTAGTGTACTCATATAACCATGCCATGTACGGCTTTAGTGCAGTACTATCTTCCGAAGAGTTGGAGGCTGTTAAGAACTCTCGTGGCTTTGTTGCAGCATATACAGACAGAACTGCCACCATAGACACCACTCACACTTTTGAATTTCTCTCCCTAGACTCTTCCAGTGGCCTATGGCATGCCTCAAATTTTGGGGAGGATGTCATTGTGGGTGTCATTGACTCAGGTGTGTGGCCTGAGAGTGACAGCTTCAAAGATGATGGCATGACCAAAACAATTCCAAAAAAATGGAAAGGGACATGTGAAGAAGGGCAAGATTTCAACATTTCCATGTGCAACTTCAAGCTGATTGGAGCTAGATATTTCAACAAGGGTGTGATTGCTGCAAATCCCAATGTTACACTCAGCATGAACTCAGCTAGAGACACTCGGGGCCATGGAACTCACACATCATCAACAGTTGCTGGCAACTATGTTACTGGAGCCTCTTTCTTTGGGTATGCTAAAGGGGTGGCTAGAGGCATTGCACCAAGAGCTAAGCTTGCCATGTACAAGGTCATTTGGGAAGAGGGTCGTGTAGCTTCTGATGTTTTGGCTGGAATGGACCAAGCCATTGCTGATGGGGTTGATGTGATTTCCATCTCTATGGGGTTTGATGGTGTTCCACTTTATGAGGACCCTATAGCAATAGCTTCTTTTGCAGCAATGGAAAAAGGGATGCTGGTTTCATCTTCTGCAGGTAACGCTGGTCCTGATCTTGGCACCTTGCACAATGGAATCCCCTGGCTTCTCACTGTGGCTGCAGGCACCATAGACCGCACATTTGGTACTCTAGTTCTTGGAAATGGTCAAACCATCACCGGTTGGACCATGTTTCCGGCAAATGCTTTGGTGGAAAATCTTCCTCTTATCTACTATAAGAATACATCAGCATGCAACTCACTGAAGCTGTTATCCAAGGTGGCCACAGAAGGGATCATTTTGTGTGACTCAGTGTCTGACCATGAGTTAATGTTAAAGCAAAGGAGGTTGGTTAATGAAGCCAGTTTGTTAGGGGCAGTGTTTATCTCCGATTCTCCTTTATTAAATGAATCACGTAATTTCAGATCTCCAAGTATTGTAATCAGTGCACAGGATGCACCATCTGTGATCAAGTATGCGAAAAGCCATAAGAAGCCAACAGCCAGCATCAAATTTCAACAAACATTTGTTGGAATAAAGCCAGCACCAGCTGCTGCCTATTACACTTCAAGAGGTCCTTCACCTAGCCATCCTGGGGTCTTAAAGCCCGACATAATGGCGCCAGGCTCAAACGTTCTTGCTGCTTTCATTCCTAATGGGAGAGCAGCAACAATTGGAACCAATGTGATCTTACCTAGTGACTACAATTTGTTGTCTGGAACATCCATGGCCTGCCCTCATGCTTCCGGTGTTGCTTCTCTTTTGAAAGGTTCACACCCTCAATGGAGTGCTGCTGCTATAAGGTCTGCACTGGTAACCACAGCTAGTCCTCTAGATAACACCCAAAATCCAATTACGGACTATGGTTATTACCCTTCTCAATATGCTTCCCCTCTTGCCATTGGAGCTGGTCAAATTGACCCTAACAAAGCACTTGATCCAGGTTTGATATATGATGCCACCCCACAGGACTATGTTAATCTCCTTTGTGCTTTGAAGTACACACAAAAACAAATCTTAACCATTACAAGATCAACCTCCTACAACTGTTCAAAACCATCCTTTGATCTTAATTACCCTTCATTCATAGCTTTCTACAACAACAAAACAAGGTCAGTTTTCCACAAGTTTAGGAGGACCGTGACCAATGTTGGAGATGGCCCTGCCACATACAGAGCCAAGGTGACACTACCTAAGGGCTTTGTGGTGACAGTGTCACCTGAGACATTAGCTTTCAGATATAAAAATGAGAAGCTGAGCTACGATGTTATCATAAAGTATAGCAAATACGAGAAGGAAAATATCTTATTTGGGGATCTCGTTTGGATTGAAGATGGTGGTGCAGAGAGTGTTAGGAGCCCCATTGTAGTGGCACCAAGTGGAATTGTATGAGTTCTAGTTTATGTTTTCCTTTTGACTATAATGACTCCTTAATGGACCCCCCAACATAATAAATAATTTGATGTAGGTAATTTCGTATAAACTTCCATTTTCAGTGTCCTGTCAAGATCTAATTATCTGCCTAGTTGCGTACAATAATTTAATTTTGTTAAAGTGACTCATGAGGACTTGGACTAAAGTGTTTTAGTAATGAATGGTGACTAAAATGCATCATTAGACTAAAACAGGTATCTTTTCCAACACATTGCAATTGAATTTTCTTCTCTGGAATTAAGTGATGTTCGTAAATATTTCCATCCTTTATTTAAAATTTAAGTAAAAAGTTTTTGTTTTAGTTGGTCACTATCTTTTGGCTTTTATTTGACCGAGTCTTATTTACCAATTGTACTTTAGTTGCTAAATGTTGGAGTTTTCTTTTAAGATTCAGTTTATACTTTTTGATTGCAAAACTTGCGGGAGTTGGTGCAGCACTAGCTTTTATTAATCTCTGTATATATTGTTATCTCGAGAGAGAAAGGTGTGAACGTACATAATTCAAAAAAGGGATTCTCCTAAAATTAATTTGGAGCATGGTGTTCATTGATTCGGTGCATAAGATTGATCATGCGAGTTGAAATATCTTAAGAAAAGAGAGCTTCATATTTAAAGTTAAAGTGCAGTGAGGCCTTTTCTCTCCATGGAACTGTGTGCTTTTTAACTTTAGCTACTTTACACGCATCTTCTTTATTTTTAATTTGCATTTTGCGCTTGATTGATTGTTACTTGCTGCTCTGTTTTATTTTCCTCTCTGCATTCTTGAACTGTTATGGTGTGTTCTTGATCATGTTTGATCTGTAAGTTACACTAAAGCATAGTTAAAGACTAATTGGGTTATATCAATCTGGCTTCCTAGAAGGATGTGGACCCTAGTTGTAAGGATACTGAGATGCTTTCCTCTGTGCATTCTTGAACTGTCACTAGTGGTGTGCTCATAATCATGTTTGATCTGTAAGGAACTTTTTTACGTTTGTCAATGCTTCTAATTCCACTGAAACCTCTTTCATTGTTGGTCTTTTCTTCCCATTAAGTATCAAGCATCTCATTGCAAGATTTGCAATGGCAAGAATGTCATCTTTCCTCGCTTCCTTAAGCACCCTGGCGGGCCTGGCCTCTAAAATTTCAAAACTTGGTCCTCCTTCATCAAAGAAATGAACTGTGCAGTCAGATTCTGACTCTCATCTTCATCCAAGAATGAAATAGGCTTTCTCCCAGTTATGAGCTCCACAATTACAACCCCAAAACCATACATCCTAAAACAAAATTTATAGGGCATGATCTATAGGCCACCAGGATTAAAAACAAAAAAACCCAGCTTTGGGTCAGGATTTTCTTCAAACATCATATGGGCAATTTTGGGAGAGTGGATGAGTTTGCTTGCTTATTATAGGAAGCATGTTTGGATCAAATTGATGGACGGAATGCAATTTTGGGGACTAATTTGAGATTTCGATTCTTCAAAGACTAAGCCTCATACCTTTAGGACCAAAATAATAGTTTACAACTTTTGAAATACTAAAATATTACAACAGACACTTGGCATTCGTTTGAGAATAAGAACTCTTATAAGGACTCATTGGATTCTACATGGAGCCCTGAGACTGTATCCACAATTATTGCATCTTAAGACTATCTTTAACTTTAGCAACTCTATCTTTAACTTTTTCCCATTAGAGAGAATCTATGTGGCATGTTGAATTGCTTAATATTAAGTACCTTATCTTATATAAGGACAACACTGCAAAACACATCCCAAAAGGTTACCAAGACAAAGTGCATAATGTAAAGAAATCCTAATATGAATCAAAAACTAAAGCACGGAAATTTGTATATACTTTACATCAATAATATAACTATTAAAAAGAGTCAAATTCTCTAACAAGGATAAGTTATTGACAAAATTTGTATATACCTTACATCAATAATATAACTATAAAAATGAATTTCATATATAAGAATAAAAAATACTATGTTGTTCTTATTATCATAGTCATTTTCAATTTAACCTTGTAAGTGCTTTTTTTATCCCCTTACTTTATAATAACAAAACAATCCCATAGCAGTACAACAGCAACCTTCCATAAGGATGAAGTTGAAGATGATTGTATGAACAATAATTAATTTGAAACTCTTTTATACAGCGAGATGAAATATATATATATATATATATATATATATATATATATATATGTATATGTATATATGTCACAAAAAGGGACAAATATAATTTAACCCATTCCAAGAGGTCACTTCAACGAGACAACATGAGAGTGGACAATGCTCTAGTAAGCTTGAGTATTTGTATGTTTAAACTGATATTCTTGTTGAGAAATATAAACATTGTCATTTACCCAAGGGGATACTTTCATCCATGTGCTGAAAAAACTAAACATGAAACACTAAAGCATATAGTTAACAAAAAATCGGGTATAATTAATTCTGGCTTCCTAAAAGATTATAAAACAAAATCTGGCTTCCTAAAAGGATGTGTACTCTAAATGTAAGGACAGTGACATGCTTTCCTCTGTGCATTCTTGAACTATGTCACTAGTGGTGTGCTCATGATCATGGTTGATCTGTAAGGAACTTTGCACCTTTCTCAATGCTTCTAACTCTGCTGAAACCTCTTTCATTGTTGGTCTTTTCTTCCCATTAAGTCTCAAGCATCTCATTGCAAGATTTGCAATGGCAAGAATGTCATCTTTCCTTGCTTCCTTAAGCACCCTGGCATCTAAAATTTCAAAAACTTGGTTCTCCTTCATCAAAGAAATGAACTGTGCAATCAGGTTCTGACCCTCATCTTCATGCAAGAATGAAATAGGCTTTTTCCCAGTTATGAGCTCCACAAGCACAACCCCAAAACTATACACATCACTTTTATCTGAAAATTGACTAGACTGAAAATATTCAGGGTCTATGTACCCAAAAGTTCCTCCTACAGCTGTGGTCAAGTGAGTCTTATCTACTGGCACTGACCTTGATGTTCCAAAATCAGACATTTTGGCATTGTAGTTACTATCTAAAAGTATGTTGGTGGGTTTGATGTCTCTATGGAAAATGGGAATAGAAGCTGAAAAATGCATATATGCCACTGCTCCAGCAACCTCACATGCAATTCTAAGGCGAGTATCCCATGGAAGAGATGGCTCATTGTCTCTCCTATGGATATGATGAGAAAGTGTTCCATTTGGAATGAATTCATAGACTAGTAAGGGAGATTCTGTCTCAAGACAACAACCAAAGAGTTTGACAATGTTCCTGTGGTTGATCTGAGATAGAATGACCACTTCATTGACAAAAGTCTCTATTTGGTTCCTTTCAATCTCTTTGGACTTTTTAACTGCAACTATGGTTCCATCTGGTAACATTCCTTTGTACACTGTGCCATAGCCTCCTTGACCAAGAAACCTGCTTCTGTTGTAGTTGTCTGTTGCTCTTTTTAGCTCCTCAGCTGTAAAAAGCTTTGCCATTTCTCCATTTCCATAAGATGAGAGCTTCTCTTGTAACAAGTAGCCACCGTTTTGCTTGAACAGCTTTTCCTTGCGATTACTTTCTCTCTTCTTCTGTATGTATCGATATAACTTGTACCCCAAAAGAAACAAACATAGAAAGGCTACACCAAGTCCAACACCTGCAAATTCAAAATATATTCAAATTCATGTGGAAGCTTAAACTTGCAATAAAGATCTTCATGTTTTATAGCCATTAGTAAATTTAGGTGAAGTAATTTGAACATTATCGGTGAAACTCATAAATACTTCGTACCATATGATTATAAAAAATATAACAATTTTCAAGTTTAAAGTACTCCGTTTATTCAAGTGAAAATTAAATCTTGGCATCATGTTACTGCTCTGATCTTTTAGGGCCTATTAGATTTCCTTATCATTTTTTTTTCCAAAACAGTTCCACACTTCAGCAGACAATTTCACATTCAAAATAAGTTCTGAAAATTGTTTTAGAAAAACAAAATCTAAAAACAGCTGGGAGATGTTTGTCACCGTCTTCTGTTTTCTTCAAGTGTTTAGAGGACAAACTTTTAGAAACAGAAATGTGTTTAGGGACACATTCAAATGTCCTCAAGGGACAAATAAATATCAGAAAACAGAAAATTGTGTTTGAAAGTAAACAAACAAGACCTTATACTACTCTATTGCCTCCACTCAGCTAGGGTGATGCACAACAACCACCAAACCTTTTATCTCATTAGGGACGTGTAAGTTAAAAAACAAAAACCAAAATTTCAATACAAGTATATTAATTTTGCTTCTTCATGAAGAGGGTTTAGGAAAAAAGGATACCTAAACCAGCAACCAATCTGGCAGGAAATTTCTGACCATCAGATTCATCACAGAATAACCCCTGGGAGCTTCCATCTGGTGCCCGGTAACATTTACAATAGAATTTATCTGGATTCTCTTTGCAGTTCTTCCCTAATAGAGGAACTAAAATAGGTGTCAAGGCAAGGAGGACCATGCTGCTGCTTTTACTTTGTGCCACTGGCAACTCATTGGCCTCTAGCATACTTTGTTCATCCACACCATAAGCCTCTCCTATGGACTTAATAGTGTCACCATAATTCACCAAGTAAACCAGCAAAGAAGTGACCCCTCTTGCTGTTTGATTTTCAGTTGGACAAGCACACAACATCGGAACTGTGAGCTGAGCACCAATTGCAATGTCTCTAGCAGCATAGTAATTCTGCCCCATCATTGCTTGACATGTGGTGAGGCCTTGGAAGGTTTCTTTCACCAACTTATAGTATGTGTCATTCTTGCTGGCAGTGTAGGGTGTGTTGTGCTGGTAGATGTTTCCAGAACATGAACATGACACAGGAACAATTATTGACTTGTTGGAAGCAATCTTGTCACTGCTTGAGATCTTGTTGATTGAGGCTATGCTGGATGCCTCAGAGCCAAGAAGGTATGCAATTCTTACAGGGCTATCATAGGGAGGTTTTGACCTGAAAAGTAGAAAGGAAGTGCATGACTTTTGATGAGCATTGCAAAGGTACCCTTTTGGTGCTGAAGGGTTGTCAGAACAATCATAGACAGTGCCATTGAGGTATGTTTGTTGGCACTTGAGTGAGTGAGGGAACATGCATAAGATTAGGAGCAGGATTGTGCTGAGAATGTTGTTGAGGTTGTGAAGAAGCTCCATGAACAAATCTTCAGAGAAGACACCAGATGAGCTGCACTTCAATTTTGGTTTTCTTTGTTTCACGTTTGATTCTTGTCACGCGGTATGGCTCGTTTTATCCTTTGTCTAGATGTGCGCAGAATATTCAGCTTACGAAAGTCGGTTAACTCTCAACACGATTTTCAAATATGGATTACAAGGACATCTATTTCATATTGAAATGCTAAGGAATTCAACGTGAAGAAAATTATGTTACTTATACTATCCGGAAATACTCTAGGGGGATCCAATCATAAATCACTGCAAAGTTTAACAAAAAAGAGTTTCCAACATCAAATGATACCTAGGATGAGGTAGGATGTTCGAGATTTGACAAGGGACAAAACACTTTTATGAGTATGAATAGTTTTTGTTATTAGAATAGAATTAGAATTTTATCATCATAATATATATAAATGTATATTACTTAATTTTATTAAATAAAAATAAATATTATGAATATAAAACTTTAATTTTAATCGAAAAATATTAATTATACTTAAAAAATTACATCTAAATTTTATTTTTTAAATTAAAAATAATACGCGCATCAATTTTAATTACATATGAATTAATAAAATTAATAATTAATTAATTTTACATGCATTTTAATATGATTCTTATTTAAATATGAATGAGGAACCAAACATGATATATGAGTGGAAATAATTTTTAGTTTAAAGATCTAGTTTTGTTTTGTTAGTTTGTTAATGGGTGCATCAGAGATCCATTAAAAGATAGGGACAAGTTTACTACTATGTAGGCAATTGAAAATACACCAAACACATGTCATGTCATAGTCCGAAAAGGCAACGTGCTGGTTGCTGAAAGACAAGCCCTTACTCCGATGAAGTTCAAAACTTTGACTTCTTCTTCCCGTAGAATGAGAATTAAAAATTGTAACTACCTTCTATTTCTAGCTTTCAAGTTAATTACATGATAATCAAATATTTTTTTATAAAAAAAAATTGCTTATAATCTTATTTCTTCCATCTCATTAAAAAGGAAGTTTATTATTAATATTTTTTTTTTGAAAACTATGCAACATAATAATTTCCTAAAATTATACTATTAAAAGTATTTGATGACTTTTTTTATAAAATAAAATTTAGATCAAGATAAATTACAACTTTTTCCAAAATTAGAATTTAATAACTTTACACGACACTTAAAAAAATAAAAAAAGTATTTAGTACTGTAATAAGTATATTTTATCATAAACTCCACTCTCTTACAACTTAATCTCATTCTATTTCTTTTTATTTTTTTTATATTTTTTATCAAATCACATATCATTTTTTTCTTTCTTTCTATCTGTCTATCCTCTATCACATGCCCACCTAAAACGCGGTTAGACATCGATGATTATTCATTTAATAATTCTTTACAGTTAGATGCATGATTCAGGGATCGCTTAAAAAACGTAGAAAAACTAGATGAATAACGTTGCTAGTCTATTTTTCTTCTGTTTATCTAATGTTAATGTTAGTTAGGTTACAGACAAAGCACTGTTGATGATTGATGAAGGTCAAACCCGTAAACCCAGCAAGAAATGGTCACACATTCAACGGATATGACAGAACATCACTGATCAATAATAATAGTATACAACAATTTATAAAGGATATCGGTGTTTATCTTTTTAAGATATTTATGTTTTTATTATTTTAATATTTGCAATTAATATATTTTTTAAGAATAAAATAAAAATATTGTGTATAAAAATGGATTAATTGTTCACTTCATTATTATTAACTATCTACTTATTTTACTTTTAATGAAGATATGAACTAATTTTTACTCGATTTCTATATATTAAATAGAAATCTCTATATTACATAAGAGTGTTTTGATAGATTTTTTTAACACAAGAATTTTAGAAGTTTTTTCAATTTTTTAATAATTTAATTTAATTTATTATAATTATTTATAACTTAAATTTTAATATTTTAAATAAATTATCGATTAATAAAATTAATATTAT